TCAGCCTACTTTCACGGGTTGTTCGAGTCGCCGTTCGCGATGGCGTCTCTTCACCTAAACGTCGACGTGGGCGAAGCTCGGGCGTTCGTACACTTTGCAGAGTTTGCGAGAAATTTGGGATTCGACGGTTCTTTAACCGACGTCGTTCAACTCGACGATCGGTATCTCAATTACTGGAACGAACGGTTGTTGAATTACGAATGCATATTATATACCAATTAAATAAAATTGATTACAAAGAATTATTTTGTTTTCGATAGTCTCTTTATTTACTACACGAACACACACACAAAATATACAATCTATTCTCGCATAAGTTCATCCGGTAGATAATGGCGGGATGACTCCCGGTATTGAAGAGGAACGCCGAGATATTCGATCGGCCTTTCGTCGCATCCGAACGTCGAGGGTTTCATAATCGGCTCGTCGCCGTTCCTGTACACCCGAACCGTCCGGCCGACAACGAAGTTCTCGTTTCCTTCTTGTATCGTCGCGAAAACTTTCGCTTTTTCGACGATAGTCGGAAGCTCCAGGATGCCGACGACCCTGTGGTCGTGACAGGTGAGGGTTGTCAGACTTCCCAATTTTTTTCGGCGTTGCGGTAAGCTTTCTAGTTCCACGCCATCCAATTTCCATCGTACCTTCGCCGAACTGGAGACTCCAAAGAGGTAAACAACGTTCACTTCCGACTTCGGGTTGTTCCACCGCTCTTGGAAAGTAATAAGGCTTAGGTTTTTCGCGGCGGCATGCACGACGAAGGGTGGATACGGATAGTTTATAGTCGGACCGTCACCTATAAATTTTCCGGCAGCTTTCCTTCTGAATTCGCATAGGTTCCTAGCCTTCAACCCGGGGCCCTTTTCGTCTTCCGGATCTCCCGTTGATTGGCCGGTTACGAAGACCTCCCCTCTTTTCGTATATTCGGAAGCGAAAAAATCGACCGTCAGCCTAATTATGTGGTGTCGGTCTTGCCTCAAGAATTCCATGTCGATTTCGACGACCGTCATCCTCCCGCGAGCGCAAATCGTAGTCGACACCGAACCATCGGGCACGGGAATGCTGTCTTCTCTGTGCTCCTCGTGATCGTGGCTCGACAAGACGCCTTCCGCGCGG